AAAACAAAAGTAAAGTCATTTATTTTTACTGATTACAGTATGTTCACATTTTCCAATAATGATAGAGTGAGCTTATATAGTTGAAATGCTCAAATCGAACGATGACGAAATAAACACATTATGTAGTTTTGAACGATGAAAACAACGACATATCTAGCAATTAAGAAACATTACTTCAGCCATGAAAAGAATATGTGGCAAATAAGGCTAATTAGGAAAGTACAAGTGTGTGAAAGAATTTTTTTTGCTATACCTACAAGTTTAACTGAAATCTATAATGTCTAATAGAGATCATTCTTTGTTTATTTTTATTTTTTGTTAATCTAAGAATTATAGAAATTTAAGTGTCTTTTACTCCATATTAGTATATCGTTATAAAAATGCGGTTTTTTCCCTTTAACTGGCTTACTTTTGAATATATTTTGATTTAAAAGTTTTCTTGTTAAAATACAGGGCACTGAAAATAGACAAAAAGAGAAATTTAACTTTTAACTACCATACATATTAAAAATATGTAAACTTTCGTATCATTCGAATACAGTTAATGTGTCTGGCCAGAAATGTTTCTAACATCAAAGAACAATACACATTACAAAATTAAAACATGGAGTAAACAACAACAGTTATGCAAATTATAAAAGCTCACGACAAGTTATAATTTACGATTTAGAATAATACTTTAGCAACATCTAGTACTCTATTCTACACCAGAAAACTGCTGACATGAGTGAGAGAACTTAAAAATGCCACATACATTAAGTGTATCGAAATAACATTCGAGTGTAACCTTTATAATCTGGACGTAACACAGCTGCACATGAAGTAGAACTTAGTCATTTAAAAAACTGAGACAAGAGCTCAATTAAGTTACTTCATCGTGTAAACTGGTTCTTATTCCATAACTTAAGACTAATTTAACATTGTTTAGGAAAACAAGGAACCTAAGTCTGGTCATAGTCAAAATGCATACGAACTTTCGACAAACTCTGTTCAGCCGTTTTCGAGATATCTTGGATCAGCGCGCACATCACACACACACACACAAGTGGCAACATAACAGGAAAGAACAACAAAATACTAGCTAACACTCGCCACTCATGTAGCGAACTGATTGCCTTCGAATGTTATGGAAGAAATAAATTTATGCACGTTTAAAAGAAAAACTGATAGGTGGTTGACCTTTAAAGTTATACGGAAAAAGATGATACATTAATTCCCTTTAACCTTAACCACCTCCATCAAATGTCCCTTAATTCTTATCTTTTTCAACAGAAAATAATTTGAGAGAATAAAACCTTCACTTGTTGTTTGAGAGATTAAAACCTTTACTTGTACGACAACCCGTCCATCCCAGGCATTATTCTACTAACCCTTTCTGATCCATTTCCCACAATTCAATGTTCTTCCTAGGGCGAGGAGTCCAATACTGAACACAATATTCCAAATTTAGCATAACCAGTGACTTATATAATGAAATTATAACATGTTTAGACTTGCATTCAATATTTCTGTATATACAACCTAGTCCGCCAGTGGGACATCGGCAAGTCTTCGGATTTACGATGGTAAAATCAGGGGTTCGATTCCCTTCGGTGGATACGGTAGATAGTCCGATGTGGCTTTGCCATAAGAAAACATACACAGATACAACTTCAATCTGATTTGCTCTACCAGTAGCAACAGTACACTGCTTGGATGGCTTAAGACTAATCAACCATTACATCAAGGTCCCTTTCTTTCATGACACTTTTAAGATTACTCCCATCCAAATTGTACTTATAATTCAAAGTATGATAACCCACACGCATTTATTATAATGAAAACCATCTGCCATTTATTTGGCCAACTCACTAAATGATGTAAATCCTTTTGTAAA